TAAGGGAATCAAATAAAATAACGATTACTCGTAGACGAGGTTGAATATATATCATGATGCGAAGCCATTACTAGTTATGTCTCATGTGCAACATATCATTATTAGATTCTATGTTATATTAGTCGAGGATATAAAGTCATTAAGTTAAAAATATAATAACACTTTCGTTTGGTTTGGATAGACTTACAAGAGCTATACAACTAAATTATAATCATCTTAAAACCTAAGCATTTTGGATGTTCAATCTTAACAAGTTAACAGGTAAATTATTGTTTGGAGTCATAGAAAGACAAATATAATATAATTCATGATCCATATGGTTTGGATTGGATGATCCATCGATTCGATATTTTGGTAAAAGAGATATGCTTTTGCTACAATAAATATATATTAAAAAAATTTAATATACTTTTGTTATGAATTTAAAGTACTGAAATAAAAAATTAAAGCAAAGCATTCTTGAGTGGTGATTGCTTGAAATTTCTTCTGCAATAATAAGTATAGACTGATTGCGACAAAATGCTTGCTATTGGTTTCGCTTTCTTTCCTCCTCTCACCTATCTGATAACACCTTTGATATGATTGCAGGAGGTTTGTAATTTGTCATAATTGCTACTACATCTTTGGATATTGCGGACGAAGATAAACAGCTAGTTTTGTGATAATTTTATGTTGTTGAATTTTACAATAGGCTAAAAAGAGTATCTCTTGACAGAATGAGTTGTTGCCAACTTTGATGCTGCTCAACTGATTTCTCCATTGTGAAGACCTCCTATTGAGGCTACAACAAAGGAAGATGTTGAGACCTCCAACTTGCGCTACTTCTTGGGCTTGTCAAGTACAAGCGAAGTCGAGTCAAGAAGTGTCCTTCAATGGGCCACCAACACTAAGACCTTTGAAAAATTGGATGCTTCAGTTGTCTATCCGTTTATTGCACCAATGGGTCGATTAGATCTTATGCATCACCAGAATAAATTATGGGTCGATTCGGCCTTATGCATCACCAGAATGCACTATGGGTCAATTTGACTTAGCACTTTATCGGAATGCTTCGTAGGTCAATTCTTACTCTTTTCGTATTGCCGAAGTGAGATATTTATAGGTCTAAAATGATTCAAAAATAAAACTAAAAATTTAAATTTTTAGATTTTCGAGTACTACATTGCCTTATATACTGACACTAGGTGGTATCATTGCCTAACAGCCTCAGAGACTAAGCTTTTGACTTTTCCAACTCATAGGCGGTTCTATTGCTAGTTTGACGGTGTCACCGCCTGACCCAACTTTTGAGTCATTGAATGAACCTCTCAATGAGGCTAAATCAATTCCAATTTAAGCTCAATTGACCCATAATTGAGTTAACATGATTACACTAAAAACTAACTCAATTAGTCCCCTAAACTACTTCGATCTAGCGAGAATACTATATTGACCCTATGAGGTGTCACTTCTTTTGTACTTATGTTGATGCATTGAAGTTGAGACTTCACTTCTCCCTCCACCTTTTTTTTTTTTTTAGTCTTCCATTACTTAGAAGTTCATTCCACTTAGATGGTGTTGAATTCTTAGCACTATCTCATAGTATTCGTTAAGGAATGCGAAAAGCTTTATATCACCTCGATGCTAATCCTATTGCTTGCATGCTATAACATGTGCTTTAAAGGTTTAGTTTACTTCCTCTCCACCTGCCATGGCTACAAACTTAAAGGGGCTTCGACATCAAATAAGGGTTATAAAAATAAGCTTTTCTTTATTTCTTCGAGAAATGGATGATCAATCAACTTGGGTTGGTTGACCCAAAAGTTCTCCAATATCGCCTTGAGGTTGCATGGGTCAAATAAGGAATAATTTTGTTGAATTGCTTGTTCAAGTCCACTGTCATCCTCTAAACGAATAAGCAATGGCTCATTGAGGTGAGCTTCAGCCCTGCACCCTTCGATAAGGTGATAGGGTTCTTCCTTCAATCCTATAAATAACTTTATATTTTTTACAAACATGAATATCCATAATAGTATTATCCAAGCAAATGTTGCGTTAAGATGAAGATGGTGGTATCGTGCCCCTCCTTATGGAACATTGAGAGGAGGAAGTTGGGTAAGAACACAATTGCTCAATCAATGATGTCTAAGCCTTCTTCGATCATCGAGCCAAACACAAGTGCCCCGCGAGGCCTTTTCCCACCTCATCATCTGTAAGTTAGTGCCAACGAGGCACCGGCCAAGTCAATTATAGGGGAGTCACCAAGGAGGAATGAACATTCTCACTCCATGGGAAGTCGATGCGAAGATTGCTCTTCCCAATAACAACAACAATAATAGCCACAACAATACCAATAGAGGTTGTAATCTTCACTGAAAGGATCGATGGCTCCCTCGGCACTCCATGGTGTCTCGTTGCCCTTAAATATGTTCAAGATTTTGCTTATATGGTGGAATTTATATTGCTGTGAGTCGCTGATGGGTGGCCTAAGGGAGAGGAGGAGATAGTGATCCCCACGTGGAGAATCACCGACAAAAGATAGCCCTTGGAGGTTCCATGGTAGGTCTCATAATGGAACCTTGCCATGTTGCACCCAAGGTTTGCTAAGGGCCTTTATGTGAGACCCATTGAAGATGTTATAGCCTACATGCACAAGCAACTCATCATGGAAGGTGCTTAACCTAATAGCTTCCTTTTCTCTTTTACTTTGCGTTGCACTCTTCTAATTCATTTCCTCTTACAAAACCATCACATCATGACAATGATGATCGACCAAGCTCGAGACTCTTCTACCGCCATGGCACATCTACTTTAGGAGAATGAATGACTAAATAATGAGCAAGACAAGCTAGAGAATAAGGTGACTCTGAACTTGGCTCGACGAGCTAGAGAATCGAATTGAGGAGGGAATGGATCTGGTTATGGTGCTTTACAACCAAATCAATGTCCTTATGCAATTAGCTGACAAAGCTAGGGCCAAGAGAGTTAGGTTTAATAAAATGGCTCTGAAGTCTGATGCTAAAATCATTATTTTGGAGACTAAGGTTGACTCCCTTCAACCTATACTAGAGGGGTTGACGAAGTAGTTGGAGGAGGAGGAGACTTGCCATCCAGAATTGAGGCAAGATAGGTGACCAAGTACAAGGCCTACCGAGGTCTCGAAAGGGGGTTAACCTAATTGAGGCTTCATGCCTTCAACTTCCAATACCAACTCGCGATTTCCTGAGTTCACTTTGACCACATCGACATCGATCTCCCAGAAGACTCAATGTATCTATGCACAAATAACGATTTAATGCCCCTCGTTGGTGCAAACAAAATCGACAACTATAGTGAGACCATGACTCCTATGAAAGAAGTTGAAGCTGAGTCAAACCTAGACTTTGATTATCAACACGCGAGCTATTTATCACTTCAATTTCATGTAGCTTTGATATCTCATATAATGTACGAATATCGATAATATAAGAAATAAAAAATATCTTCCAAATGAGGATCATCTTTACAATAAAATTATAATAATAATATAATAACAGTAAGGATATAAACCATTTGTCATTAGAACAATTTCAATATAAAACAAAAAAGAGTGCTCTTAGCACCGTAAAATTAGTAAATTTTTTCAATTATGAATTGAAGTCTTCAATCGATAATATAAATAAATCATCTTCAAATACTAATAAAAGACTAGAAGAAATGTCAATAACTACAAAATATATTTATAGTATTCATGAAACCTTATATTGTTTTTGAATCTTTAAAACGAATATACTAACAACAACAACAACTAAGGAGGTATATTGAACTAAAATTTCTCATATATTTACATGTTTCATGCATGATGATCTCAAAGAAAAGGACATAAAGATAAAGAAAAAAAAAAAGAAAGGAGGAGGAAAAGAAAAGGATAAGATGAAAGGAGAGAGAGAGAGAGAGAAAAGGAGCAAAGAGGTCTTCTTTTACCTGGAACTAAAGTAGTCCAAGCCACGTCTCAAAGTCACATCCCATTTAAAACAATGTATATTAGGACAGCTAACTATTCAAATCGAAACTACAAAACCATAAAAAATCAAATCATACCCCATTACCCATTTGAATGGTCATATAGCCACTCCACTGTTTTAAACCGGAAAGAAAGTAGAATGGTACAAAAGTAAAAAAAAAAATGGAAATAAATGAATTTGTGCACACTCTGCCGTACAAATGAGCATTTTTTTTTCTTTTTTTTGAATTTAAAAATGTCAACTAAAGTAACAATTGGCCGTGGAAAAAGAATCCGCATCATTTTCTGTGTATATTTGGTTCTCTTTCCACGGTCCAAAACACGGAGTCGAACCGGATTCCAAGACCCGACTGCTGACGTCGATAGTACGACGTGGGCGGCTCCTATTGGCTGAAACCTCTCGCGGAGCGGTCCGCGTGCGTGAGGTTCACGCGCGACGGCATCCCATCCCGCTGTCGTTCCCCCCCACTATAAAGGCCGGGAGACTGCTCTGCGCCCTAACACAAGTTGTGGTGTTCGATTTCTTCTCCTTCTCCCTCTTGCGACGATAGAGAAGCCTCGTCGAAGAAATCTTGTGGTAATTCCACTGCCGCCTCTTTCATTGGATTTTCGTTTCGATCTATTTGATCTCAGAACGATCTATTCGCCCGTTCTTCGTCTGTTTTTGATCGATTGTCATCGTTTTCTTGTAGTTCATCCTGTAGACCTGTGGAGCTCCTCCTCCCTATCGTGTTTTGGGTGCTTTGTTGTTGATTCCGACGTCTCTGTTTGTTGTTAGGGTTAGAGTTCTTTTTTGCGTCGGCACCGTTTATCAGCGGTGAGACGAGATGGGGCTTACGTTCACAAGGCTGTTTAGCCGACTCTTCGCGAAGAAGGAGATGAGGATTTTGATGGTAGGGCTTGATGCGGCTGGTAAAACCACGATCCTGTACAAGCTCAAGCTCGGAGAGATCGTGACCACCATCCCCACTATTGGTCAGCATCTATTTCCGTCCCAAAACACTTGTTCTTTCTCTTCCTATTATTGTTTCTTATATATCTTATTCTTATCGTTCAGTTATGTTATTAGTCCCATTCTTCTGATACCTTTACTGAGCTCAAACTTTGCGATCCCTGTTTGCTGCTAAGAATGTCACATGAATATGCATCATGAATGTTATAATTGACTGAACATGAAGCTCGTCAGAGTGAACCTGTAGGTCAGTTTGAATTCGTTCTTTCTGGATACTGAATGATACAATGCTCTTAATTATTGAGACAGTTATATTTTTTCCTAGATTAATCCTTAATAGTGAATTTTTGTGTAAATTGACGGAGTGATATATTCAGATTTTTAGTTGGAAAGAAATAATTAAAGACAAAACAACTATATGCTTTTTTATTATCACGTGTTTAATTATTTGAGATTAATACTATTCAAGATTTTTTTATAAATTTGGAAGTTTCAGAAGTATATTAAGTAATCTATAATGTTAAGATAAGTTGTGTTTCATCCAACCTAAAATGTTTTCAGGTATTTCAGGAACATTTTTACATGCGTATGTATCTTCACAACATTGGAATTAGTTCTCATAAATTTATTTAAGTCAATACACAAAAGCTACCTAGTTTTTATATTACTTGGATGTTATCCAAAGCAGAACTTTGTTGGTGAAGCGGTGATCACAGAAAGGCTATCTGATGCATGAATTATTTTGTTTTGAATGATGTGTCTATTTGTACTTTGATATCACCTTGTATAGACTAAATGTTACTTGGGCCTTCCATACTAGACTTGTGATGGTAGTTTTGACATCTTTTTATCAGAGGATTATTCCATAGTATTTAAGAACTCGTGGGGCTACTAGTTAATATCTATTAATGGTTCATGTTACAGTCTAGAATTTTCTAAATTATTTTGTAAGGATCTGTTTATAATGTAAGGATATATTTTGAATTGTTTATAAGGACCTATTTGTAAATATAAAAAATTACAAGGACTAAATTATAAAATGTATAAAAAAGGGGTTTCTTCCACCGTCTCTTGCCTCATGCCTTCAGCTTGAAGGAATTAGAGGTGGCTTCTTTCGGTGGAGAAGAGAGGAAGTGAGTGAGAAGAAGAAAAAGAGATAAAGAAGTGATTTGGCTCAAACCCTCTTATTTGGGATCAAATCTTTCTCAAGCAAGTGTTCTAACCCCTTCCTACAGTAATTTTAATCTTGATTATTAATAATTTGAAGGGTTTTGGCCTTACACCTGATACCAATCTCATTCAAAGATAAAGTTATGAATCTGAAATTTTTGAGATTTATGATCTATCTGTCTTGTTTTAGCTATAATTTTTTGTATCGAATTCTGATTTGGGCAAAACTTATTTATTTAGAAACTAGACTTGTAGATCTTTCTTTCCATATCTTGATTGAAAGATTTGGAGTTCGAATGCTTGCCCAAACTTTATTTCAATTGACCCTATGGATTCTGCAAAATATGGATCATAATTTCTGACTTTTCGATACTAAATTGCTTATAACTTTATATTGGAAACTCTAATTAGTGCAAAATTTGCTTCATTGGAAACTAAACTCGTAAATCTTTCTTTATATCTTATTCGAAAGATTTGGAGCACAAATGCTTGCCCAAATACTAGGTCGGCTCTTATATACTACCTCTGTCATACCCCTCAAATTAACACATTCAAGAGGCGTAAACCTATCATAAATCAAGAATATTATAATTCAATCGCAATCTAAATCGAAGATCCAAAATGACATTTGAGGACACTAAAAAGCATTCAAACACCATTCATATCCATAAAACCTGTGCAGTTTATAATCATATACTACATTACTCGATAATTCACGAAAACCCAAGTCCAACTCAAAAAATATCATCAACCACCACTTATAAATCAACAAGCGTAAGAATTTATACAGTCATAAAACTAACCTTTTACCACAAGTTTATATCGTTGTAAAACTAAATTTAACATTCTAAAATCCTAAACATGAGAGGCCTTTTAAACTTTTACAAGATAAATCAATTTAGATTTGCTGATAATATTTTATTACACGCAAAATATACTTATACAACACCGGCATATCAACCCATAAAAACTTGCCCAAAATCTGAATAGCTTTCCACTGTCTCAGCCTAATCCAAAATTTTCAAAGAGTGATAAGATAACTTGAAAATTTATACAACAGAGTATGTTACAAAGCTCAGCAAGTGACTAACATATCTATGGCGAGAGATGATAGTTCATACGGCCTTAATATCAAGGTGCAAGGCAGAGACAAGAACTCATAGATATCATTTCATTAGATACAAAAATCACAATGTCATTTCATTAGAAGCTTACTTTGTTCATTACAATGGAGTAAAGAGTATTTAGGAGCATATCAATTGCATAAGAAGCATTTTGGAGCATATTATTGGTGTATAAAACATTTAGGTGCATATCAATGGCATAAGAACATTTAGAAGTATATCAATGGCGTAACGAACAGTTAAGAGCATATCAAGAGGACAAATGAGAAAATAAACTCAAGTGTCATATTTGACGTTGTATTAATTTCATTCTTATCCAAAGCGTATATAGAAACACAAACAATACATTGGATAACATGACAAAAACATAGAAGGTGAAGTGAGATCATAACATAATATGGTCCATTTAAATCTGGATGACCATTAACATAAGTCTCCCATATTTGAGAATTCCATCTACCCATGTCTGGATGAAATCAGAGGGGGCCGACAAGAGCATCGCGGGCTTTAAACATAACTCCCTTTCCCATTTCTGACGAAGGTTTACATTTTCCCACAAACACCGGAGTATAAAAGTAGATTGTGAGCAAGAAATTTAGCATGTATAGGAAGCAAATCTGAAATGAAAATATACATGTTGAAACAATATGATACAAACATAAACTTTTGCATAATGCATTCATATATGATAAGAATCAATGACAAGAGATATAAGAGTTTAAAACAATCATACAAGGCTCAATTGAGAGAAGAATTCTATATGAATTAAGAGATAGAAATAATAATAGGTAGAATTAGCAAAATTTTGTACTAATATAATCTGAGGCACTTTGCACGAATTATTTGAACAACCAAACATACTCCAATTTACTCAATGAAGATATCATTTGAAAGATATATTAGTCTACTTTTAGATGAATCAAGTTTTGTAAAAATCAAAGTTTTCAACAGGGAGTTACAAGCAATTTAGTATCGAAAGGTCAGAAAACATTATCTTTGTTTTGCAGAATCGATAAAGTCGATTGAAATAGATGTTTGGGCAGACATTTATACTCCAAATCTTTCAAGTAAGATATAGAAAGAAAGATCTACGAGTTTAATTTCCAATGAAACAAGTTTTGTACTAATTAAAGTTTCCAACAGAATGTTATAAGCAATTTAGTATTGAAAGGTTAAAAATTACGGTCCCTGTTTCGTAGAAGGTATGAGGCTAGAGGCGGTTGAAGAAACCTTTTTTTATTTTTTTTGCACACTTTGCAGTTTAGTCCTTGTAATTTTCTATAGTTACAAATAGGTCTTTATAAATAATTCAAAATAGATCCTTACATTATAAACAGATTCTTACAAAAAAATTCAGAAATCAGGGATATTACAAGTTTCTTGGAGTTTGGCCTAATTTTCTTTATAATAGGAATGTTTCCTTGTCTTTGAGATGATGATTTTGGTCACGCTGGCAGGGTGAATTGTTCTTGTGAGATCATATAGTCTTGTTAATATCAAATATATATTTTCAGTTATGAAATCTGCTTCTTTAGTTCAGGCTTCAATGTGGAGACTGTAGAGTACAAGAACATCAGTTTCACTGTTTGGGATGTTGGTGGCCAAGATAAGGTTAGTTAGAACTATGTTTGACACTCTGCTTTTACTTGGTTAAGCTTGGAATTTAGATCAAATTTCATTGAACACCCATGAATTTATGGAAGCTTACATAGATCTGAGATCTTAACAAAATTTAAGCTTGAGAATACTGATTTTAAACTTAATTGTCTTTCTGTATGGTATGTTTGGTTTTTTTGGCCCACAAAATGTGCATAAAAGCTTCATATTTGCTTATTTTTGATCTATTTGTTCTGTGTTTCATTATAACAGATCAGACCTCTATGGAGGCACTACTTCCAGAACACTCAGGGTCTTATTTTTGTGGTTGATAGCAATGACAGAGACCGTATTATTGAGGCAAGGGATGAACTTCATAGGATGCTTAATGAGGTGAATTCATCTGGTTTGTTAGCCATAATAAATGCTCTCTAATTTAGCATAGCTGTGGTATATGACTGTCTCATACAATTTGATGATTGGATGTAACCTACGTTTTCCTGTGCATTTCTATACAAGTGTGTTTATCACTAATTTTGAATTGAATCTCCTCTATTTTATTACTACCTTCTTGCTTGTGGTTATAGTTGGTTATTAAAGAAAAAGTTATAAGCAACTTTTCCAGTTGATGTTGTTTCTATTTTCTTCTATAAATTCCTTTTCCAGTTGATGTTGCAAGAAGAATGTTATATTTCGAAATGAACATCACAACTGTTTATAAATTATGATGACCATTGTATGACCATACACTGGGATTTGCGGTATTCATCATCATGCCTAGGGCCTCTGAATTTGTTGGTTGCTAAATTCCTTTTTCAGTTGATGTTGCAAGAAGAATGTTATCTTTGGACATGACCATCACAAGGTTTTAGAGATTATGATGACTATTGTATGACCACACACTGGGATTTGCGGTATTTATCTTCATGCCCAGGGCCTTCAAATTTATTGGTTGTGTTGAATAGAGTAATCGACAAAACCATGCACATAATGATTTTGATTAATCATGACTCGACTTTGATTGGATAATTGACTTATTGACTTCGTTAAACCCATACCATTGACTCAAAGTCCCTAAGTCCAAGTTAATAGTAGTGTATCCATCATCCCTTTATAAGTCAATCTAAGTCTTTAAACACTTTTGATATAGAAATAGATTATAATTTTCCTTAAAGGTTTGACATCCTCGTTCATCCAACATAGTCAGAATATGACCTTACTATGGTGCATGTGAGGCATAGCCCACTAGTGGCTCCATCCCAAGACACGCCATTTGGTGTCATCCATACTTGAGCCTTTCACCATGCTCCAATAAATCAATTGTCACAGCACCCAGTTTGGTGGAATGATTAGCCTACTAACTTCGTGGACTCATACAAAATGCATGAGCCTAAGTTAACAGTACTGTATGAATATAAATCTTTAGACACTCTCAATGTGGGACTAAACCTGAGTATGACATGATTTGCAATATTCATCTTTATGTCAAAAATATTTGAGGTTTATTCAGTAAATTAATTGTCCATATTTAGCTATTCTTGAATTGGTTTTTGAATTGAATATGCAACAAAGTTATTGTGTTTGGTGGCATTTTTTTCATTCTTTAGTGGTGGAAATCGGTGCTTTAAAATTCAGATAATTGGCTTACCCATTAAGGTTTAGTGGTTTTCCATACTAGCATTTGCTGAAGCTTGTGCTACTCCTTTCATGCACAAGCAGTTATGAAGCACTAGTGAGAAGGATGCTATGGTGGAAACCTCAAGTAAACAACTATTTTTTACTTGTGATGTTGATGGTTCTACTTGGGGTTTGATTCTTTTTCATAATGTTAAGCAGTGAGGTTTATCTGTGAGTTTGTGTCAAAGATTTTGTTTTCACTGATGTTGTCAACATATGTGGAATCTGATACTAATTAGTGTATGCATTTTGCATACAAAAGTTGACCGCAATCTAGTATGTGTTTCTGTAATTATAGATTTGCAGAGTTCATGTTTCTTCTTTTATTATACATCACGTTAGAACTAACCTGAAATATTTTATTTTTGCATTGTAAAACTAGTTTGATTCAGGATTATATTACACCAATATTGTAATTGTCTGTGAATTCTTTTGGACTTATTAGTAAAAAAATGGCAAACCCAGTGCACTAGGCTCCCACCAATTAAATATCATTTTTAAATTGTATAATTTTCAATTAGTTACTGGGACTTGATAATGGAGCTGATATATCACTCATATTAATAGTTATATGATTAATCTGATCTTCAGTGGGTATAGGTATGAGAGGAAGGTGCTTACATTTCTGCAAATGTGAACTGTCAATACAAAGACTGAATGGTTTTTGATGGCCTTCTTAAGGGAAGTGTCTGACTATTGTTGGGAAAACAAGTCGCTTTTGTCAATGGTTGTTGTAGCTCTGAATATGAATTCTTTTTATCATTTTAGGATCTTCTTGCCATTTATTAGAAATTGGGACACTAAAGTAGTGATGATGATTAATGTTGTATTATTTGATTTGCTAACTTAATTTTTTACCATACTTTAGATCGCTGACTTCCTTCTGGTATGTGTGCAGGATGAGCTACGTGATGCTGTGTTGCTTGTGTTTGCAAATAAGCAAGATCTTCCCAATGCAATGAATGCAGCTGAGATTACTGATAAGCTCGGACTGCATTCCTTGCGACAACGACACTGGTATGATTGGATCCCCATTTTTGCAACAAGGCACCTACATTTGTGTCATATAGAAGCATGTGCCACAGCATTTGTGATTAAATTAGAATATCTGAAATCATACTTGAGCATAAATACGGATATGCATAACAAGTCTACACGCGTGATCACATTTTAATGCTTGCATAGACCACATACCTGCAATAATTTTTTATTGCACATATACAATAACAGTGCATTTCATGTTTTGGTGGGTTGAATTGTCCCTATAAATGTCAGTGCCGACATTACCACCCACAAACTTGATGAGTGGAACCTATATGGATAATTCAAGACAGGTCTGTGAAACTACCTCACCGCTGAAGTTTTTCAGGGGTGCCTCAGTCCACTTAAATAGCATTTTCCTTGGTGGATCTTTTTCTTAGTGAGTTATCACTATCTTTAACAAACTATTCAATCCAAGATGGTAAAAGTTATATTTGATATGTGGTTAGGGGTATGATTGGCATTGTGTTGGTATCAGTTAGATTTCAATAAATTAAAAGCATCAGATGCCTGGGAGGCGTTTGTGGAAGTTGGTAACCTTTAGATGGGTATCTGCTGTATTTGCTAGTTCAAGGTTTTCTGTGGAGATTATATATGAAACTAGTGGCAGACTAATTATGTCATATAGGAGTCTTATCAGCTTGGCAAAACTTAAAGAGTTCTCCCAACAATAAAAAATTGACTTGATGTCTACTGTTGCCTTATCATCCGTTCAATTGGGATGTAAATTGGTCTTTTGTTTTGTGCTGCTTTTTTTTCTTCCAAGTGTGTCAACACAATATGTTGCCTCTCCTTTTCTTTTCTGTTTAGCCTAATGATCAATATGATATGTTTGTAGGTATATACAGAGCACATGTGCCACATCTGGTGAAGGGTTGTACGAGGGGCTGGATTGGCTCTCCAATAATATTGTCAGCAAGGTATTTATCATCAATTTTTTTAAAACATTTTGTTCTTTATCTTTTAAGTCAGTTTCCAAATATCATTCTAAGGTCAGATGTGACTTTATTCTCATAGACTGTGAGATTTTTGCAACATTTTTTTTTCCGATGATAAGCACAGTTGTTGGGAAGATCCCTCTACTGACACAGGTGGCAAACCTTCCTCAACCAAGTTAAGCATTTCTTATTTGAACTGTAGTCAAGCATGGGAAACCAATTAGAAAAATGGAACATAAGTGTTGGTGGGACAAAGTAACTTCGGTTGCAACAAAGTATGAAGATGAGTGGGAAACAGGTTTCCCCGTAACTATGATTTGAACTGGGCTTGAGATTCTCGATGATTAAGAAAGGCTTCCGTCTGGAAAGTAGGAATGGTCAAACAGAGCAGCATCATTTTGTTGTGTCGATGGTCCTTGTTATAGGAAATGATCCCCTTCTTGAGCATCACTTACAGGCCAACGAAATGCTTTGACCGGCCAAAAGCTGACCTGTCTTTAATGTGTTTCCATATGGCAATTTAAAACTTTTGGGTGTCTTGGAACTTCTGCCAACTTCTTTTTTGTTTCTCCAGGCTTGAAACTTGTCATTGTGGTCTAAGCTTCTACTATTGCTCCGTTAGACATGTACCTTCCACAGCGGCTTGGGCGTTGCTTTGATGACATTCCCAGGCAGCTTGTTGCTCGTGGATAAATCATCCTGACCTCGGTTATCTTTTCTCTTCTCAACAACTTTTTTATTTTTTGTAGTAATCACACTTCCGTATCATGTATAAGTTTGACAAAGATTATGTTATATAATATAGTGTGACATGGTTGTAATGGTTTCCGGTGTGTTTATAAGGATTGTAGAACAATATTTCAAGTTCTTATTTGTAGATATGCCGCAGTCTGATGCAGGTGGACGACAAGAAATGATGCAGATGGGTTTAGGGGGTTTGCACTTGAATGAAATTAGTTTTCCCTTCTTTACAGCTTTACGTTTGACCATAGTGAGGTTGAATTTAGTTTAGTGAATGTTTTTTTTTTTTTTTGCAAAAAAGTATTCAAATGAACAATTCAGATTCATATAAGATGTTTCGTTGCAGCTCAATCAATTCACCTCCCATGTCATGTTAACATCAAAACGAAACAAAAATCATATATCAATGTGAAGAATATTAGGCCATTTTTTAAGAAATCAATTGGTATAATATTACAATATTTTTATTATTGTAATATTAAATAAAATATTGTAATTCTGCTAAAAAAATATAATAATTTTCTGAATTGCCATATCTAAATTTTAAAAACGAGGGAAAAATTCAAAAAAAAAATCGTGAGTAATATTTTCTCAAACGGGTTTGAATACATCAAATTTTTCGTAACATAGGAACGTTTAAAGCCCTCCGTCTTCAAGGCCGACCCAACAAACTCCGGTTCCTAGACATATCCAATGATCGATCACTTGCGGTACAACCTCGAACCGGACCACACACACCAGTCATCTCTCTCTCTCTCTCTATACCGTCTCGTCCTCATCGTTGACTCAGAAATAAGCGGATGGTGTGAACTTTAATGTAAATAACAAAAAGGAGAGTGGTGTTTATGAGAAAATTGATTGTGATTTTTTTTACGAGTTTGCCCTTATGTGATCAACCGAGTGAACAATCCGAACCGTCCAGTCGAATCCCTTCCCCGTGGACCGGGCCGCCGCCTTTTTATCGTCCTCGTTCCATCTCCCTGAAGCCCACAGATCTCTCCCTCGCGCTCCGTGCTAAGTTCATCTTCGGTCTGATCTGGAGGTCGAACGCCGCGCGCCAACGGATCACGACGCCGCAGCCCCCACGCGCTTGGATCCGCGTTTCACGTCGCCATCGATTGTAGTTTACCCTTTTAGTTTAGTCCAATTATTTAGAAGATCTGGTTCAAGCCTGCGCCCTCGACCGCCCTACATCGGCTTCCGGTTCCGCCAACAGATTCGATTCCGCCGACCCTAGCTCCCCGAGGTCAGTCTTTGTTCTCTTGATCTCTTTGCTGCAGTAATTCGATTTCTTTCTCTTTCCATCATCTTGTAATCGCTTCTTTTGAACCTTATTGTGGCCATCGAGACTCTCGATAAGATTATGAATGTGACAGGGTAAAAGAGATTCGAGCCTGATAATCTTTAGTGTAAATCACCGAAAGTAGGAAAAGTTGATCTTGTTAAGGTTTTCAGGATTCAATTAGGGCATGGTAAGCTCAAGAAAGCGAATGTATTTTCTTCTTCTATTCTGCTTGACTTATGTTTTTTCCTTTTTCTTTGGGAAATGTTGGTATAAGAAAAGTTAACGACAGAAAAATGTTGTGAATACTCACTTACCCAAACCCGGACACTACTATAATCACACTATGGAAGAGATGGGAGATATCTGAAAGGAATGGAGTGCAGTTTTGCCGGTGAGAGATTGATCACGAGACTCATTCTGGCCGGCAAAGGTTCTTCTAAGGCTTGATAGCTTTTGAAACAAATGTGGTTGATGAGGCAAGGATTTCGTGGAACTAGGATCTGAAGTAATCGATATTGTAAACTTATATGGGCATATACTTCTAGTCTGCTAAAAGAATTTGGATTTGAATGCTAGACATATGATAAATTCTTTAATCATACTTGTTTAAATAGACATGGGTACAAGGTGGATTTATGACAAATATGGATTTGGAATGGAATCTTGATAAGTCAATAGAGATGTATATATCTCATGAATCGGATGCATTACCAGTTTAAATGTATATATCTCATGAATCAGATGCATTACCAGTTTAAATTAGGGCATCAACTCAAGCCTATCAATGCTCTTTCTTGGATAGGAAGACCTAGAGCAACTATGAAAGGGAAGAGTGAGTAAAAGAGAATATGTTCACCCAGAACAATCCATCAATAACACCTACCTTAGGCAAATATATGTAGATAAAACCTCTTGAAATATGTTTGAATATTAGATTATGGATATAGACATTCAGTAGCTTGGTCTATCCAATCTCTCAACACTAACAAAAGTAATTAGAAAGTCTCAAACATGCATGCCAAATTAAAATTTATATATCCATGTATGTACTTAAAAATATAGCTTTTCTTTGCATGTACACACTTGTGGATGTACAATAAAATGCTATTGTGAGTTTTAAAATGCACAAAGATTTACTAGAGGAATGTGTTTAATGATCAAATAGTAAGAGAAGGTTATTATTTAAGAAACCAATGCATATTGGATCCTTGAAGCTCAGTCCACAAGTTTAGGAAACAGCAGTTACGGTGTCTGTTTGTTCAACATATCTGCATGTTATTCCATTCATAATTTTATTTTAATTTTCTAGATTTGAATACTTTCAGATGGGGTGGTACAAAAAACTGCTACCTACAATGTTATATTAAAAAGTATTGAAATAATTCCATCTTTTCTCACTGGTCAGGTTTGTCTCGATTCAACTAGGTCAATTGCGATCGGTTGGCTCATGAGACCATGACAACGTTATTTTACCTTACAGCTTATTACTAGATTATAATAAATATTGTGTAAGCATATCTAAACTACAATCAAGAGCTGAAACTGTGGCAGTGCAGAAGTTACTGCCTTGGTAAATAATATCCTGAAGTTTTTTAAGTGCACAAATAGACCATGTTAAGTGTGTTCACTGGTTGGGTAGCCTTGGTATTATTCTGTGGATTGAATGCTTAGCTTAACAGAATTAATAAGGGTGCAAATATTAAGACTATAAAAAGATACATGTTATCTATTACTCTATTTTCCATAGTATATTAGTCCCTCAGTGTTTTGCAATGGTGTTCGGCTATACAAGTTTGTTTTATACAAAATTTTCATTTCATTTGTCAGTTTATCTTTCTCATTCAGTATAGTTATTTTGCAGATATGCAGCATGTAATTTGGTGTTTTAAAAATTGACAAACATTTGTGTTTTACTTGGGGATTCCTTGAGTACAATGGAGCCACAGCAACTTGAGCAAACGTCTTCACCTCCCGTTACATCCCCTGTCAATCAAAGTTCTACTTCTCCTAGACAAGATGCTTCTGCACGAGACACACAATCTATTTTTTCCACTTCTGGTATATCCTCATGGGCCAGAAATATTAAATTTCCTCAGTCATCTGGCCAAGACGATGTGCAGTCTGTAAATGCAGGAAAGTCAACATTTTCACGTTTAACTAGTGGAATTGGGTTTCGTTCATCTCCAAAATCTCCTCAGTCTGAAGAGACTGTTGCTGAGGGCACCTCGACAACCACTCAACCAGGAGTTTTTGGATCATTGACAAAAGGATTAGTTGATACATCGAGAAGTGCAGTAAAGGCTGTCCAAGTAAAGGCTCGGCACATGGTTTCTCAAAACAAAAGAAGATATCAGGTAATGTTGTTGCTATTACGCTTTCCTTACATCTCTATTATCTGTTCAGACTTGTGAGGTGATCAGTTTTCTGACCTAAAGTTTCTTTGTGTAGCTTGCTCTACTGGTTTCTTTGTGTGCACCTCGGTAGACTAGTTGAACGTTCATGCTAATGCACATATTGTCTAAAGGAACAATTCAATTATTCTATCAACATGGTATAAGCTTCATGAACCACAAAAATATTAGTAAATTGTAATATGCATTTAAAATGCCAAAACAATAGAAGGGCTTCTTAAAATTATAAAGGTTGGTAGTACTTTTAAATAAAAATAAAAATTGGATTTAACATCATTTTTGTGAATTATTAGCCCAATCTTGACCTTACCACAGTCAAAGGGCATGATGCCAATTAAGTTTCCCGTTGTAAATGTGCTTTGCTTTAATTGAAGGAATTATATTTCTATGGTCCATTTTAACAGTGAAGTGGTGGGAAGCAGATTGTATATCTATTTTAAGAAAAATGAGACCATATGAGAATTACTTTAGAGATACACCAATACTTGGGAGAAAAATTCCACCAGCAGCAGAAATATTATCACTTATTATATGGCAGTGTGATATGTACTTGTTTGAAGCAAATTTGGTTTGCTTACCAGAAATATCATATCATATGCTTTTAATCAAGAATTTAATACCAGTCAAACCATTACGTATCAGCCAATACTTATCAGTCTGTGCAAGTAGCGGTATCAAAACTTATAAATTAATTCTGGTACATATTTTGTTCCTCTTTATTCTTTTATAGGTCAATATACGGCTTGGTGTGTCGTACCTTACTGATATAGTAAGTTGCCAGAATCAGCAGCGGACTGGTATTCAGATTCTTTTTCTATTATCAAAATAAAAGTAATGTATAATGTGTCCTAATGTTTCACATCGGAACAGTGCTAGTTGATGATAGATACTTTGGGGTTTGTTATATGTAAAATTATTTTTCGACGCGGATGGTTACATGACATGCAAGCACAATATGCTAACTAAATTAGTCCCACTTGGTGATATTTATGATAAATAAGTAATGCGTCTTCGTTACCTGAACACTCAAGGAGCTGATCGAAATGCTCCTATGTAGAAACAAAATATTAGATGTGTTGATGCATATGGTTTCATGATTATATTCAAGCATGTTATGCTAACTAAATAGTCCCATTTAATGATTCTTATGTATTTAAGTAATGCATCTGTTTTTTTAAGGAACTGGTCCATTTGATAATACCAAAACTAGTTATCTTTCTTGGGAACTGGCTGGTTAATTACAGCATACTATGTTTCTCCTGCACCCTCTAAACATTTTTGTTCATATTCTGTCTGTAGTTTATTGAATATGCATATCCTTCACACAGTTTATGCCATGTTATGAGCAACATTAGCACTTCTACTTGATCACAGATGCGAAGTATACCTATGCTCATGTGCATGCTTAGATTTGTATCCTTCTTGTGCAAGTATCCAGTTTG